CACGGCAGCATGTGGTCGTCTCGTCTTCTCTTGTGTTCCGCGTCTCTTTCTGTCGGTTTAGCTGCGAGAAAGCGACGACGCGACAGCCCGCGCGCCGTGGCGGCGCCCCCTCCCCCCTTTTCCGAGTGCAAGGATTTGATTCCTGGTGCGCTTTTGTGTGTCTCTGTCCCAGGTGTATTGTGTAATCCGGAAGGGCGGTTTATTTTTGTGGTATACATGTGAAGGGGGTCGAATGTCACCGCCTGCCTCGGTGCGTTGTGGTTTAAACACCCCCCCCCCCCTCTCTCTCTCTCTTTTGTCGCGTCGAAACAAAAGACGTGCGCGCTAATCATTAATTACCATGGTTTTTAACACTAGAAGGACCGGGATTTCCGTATACCTAGAAGGACCGGAGGGGTCATTTTGACCCCTGCACTGGTTTTCACCGTTTTTATCGCAAAACGGGAGGGTTTTAATGCCAGATCACTTGCGACTGGTGTTTTTATGATGACTGATGCCATGGGTTGACATTGAGGTGTCTGAAAATGTGAGTAGGTAGGCAACCCGCACAGCAAAAAAAGCGATTTTTAGCAATTTTATTGCAATTCTGCTTTCTGAGCGCGTTATTTTGGACATTTTTAAAAGGTAAACATTCAAACTCAATTTTAGGGACATTTTGTCACAAAAAATGTTTATTATTATGTCGAACATTGTACAATTACAATACAATCAAACTCAAGGAACAATTAAACAGGTAAGTAAAACTGACATTTTTAGCTTTTGAAATTTAAAAAATGGCACATTTTAGTTTGGTTCTGTCATTTTTATACTTCGCATTGCAGGAACAACATTAGGTAAGTAAAACTAAAACTAAAGTACAGGTTTTTGGTATAAAAAGGAACAGGTAAGTGAATATGCACTTTTCTTCTTTCATCACTTATGAATTATTCATTACTCACATCATATTCTTCATTGCAGGTGCAGCACAAAACTATGGTCTTTCCAGCACAGCTTCCACATACAAGCTTTTTGCAGCCAGCACAGAAGGATGAAGTTTTATTTCCGGTGCAGAGACCCAGTACTTGGCACTTCCGCCGCGATGCTGATTGAGGCAACTCAGGTAAGTTCGCAACTGTGGCAAGGGGTTGAGAAATGGCTCTACGAGATCGGTTAGCTGCCGACAGTTCATTTGCTAGCTGTCGTATGAAACTGTGCCGTGAAATCTTTTTAGTTGTGCATTCTTTGTAAATGACCCAGGCATTTATAGCCGCGAAGTCAAGCACATTGGAAAAAACGTGAAGTGGCCATCGGCGAGTTCCGCACCGGACAGAGTAAAGTCGAGCCATTTGATCTACAGTATCTACACCGTATTTTGTGCTATTATAGTACTTTATGGACTCTGGGAGTTTCTTAGCAGAGTCGTCAACGGTGATTGCTGGGTGCATTGAACTGAGCACAATGACGTTCTTTTCTACCTTTCCCTGATAAATAGTCATAGTAGCATGCTCAGATTTGAGGAACACTGTTGAGTGTAACTCGCCGCGCGCTACTTTCACCTCTTGTGGCACTTCTCGTCTAGCACGATTCATTGTCCCGACCAAACTCGTTTGCTTGGACTTCAAAATCTTTGCGAGATTCAGAGAAGTGAAATAATTGTCGGTAGTAATATTTCTTCCTTGTTTCAGGTAGGGGTCCGCCAACGACAACACCACATGTTCCCCCGCAGTGAGAGAGGTATCCTTGTCCTCCATCTTCCCAAGGTAAGGTGCAGCGTTGCACATATATTTGCTTTTAGGGTCAGCTAGTATCCAGAATTTGATTCCAAATTTATCCGGCTTGCTAGGAATATACTGAATAAATGGACAACGTGTCTTTGATGGAAAAAGTTGTTCATCTACAGTTAACTCCGCACCCGGCTTGTAGCACGCCTTGCAGTTGTCAATGAACGCATCCCATGTATCAGAGATCAGAGCAAACTTGTTTGTCTGAAGTCGCTGTGACCGCTGCGCTCTTATGTCAAACCGAAGGTATCGCATGATTTCTACAAAACGGTTTCTACTCATAGTATTTGTGAAAAATTGTGGTCCCCATTCTTTTGACCACAAACTCTTCATGCTTATATTTCTAGATCCATACGAGCCCCGACAATACATGATTGCGACAATAGCTTCTAGCTCTTCGATTGACACCGCCTAATCTGGTTCACCAGTGTCCTCTCTTGCTCTGATTTGGGTACAGTTCTGAATATGTTTCAGCATGGGATTCGTAATAAAGAGATCCCATGCAGACCGTACACTGCTCTCATCGACAGAGCGCTTTGCAAAAGGGGCGGGCCCAGGCACTTCTCGAAGTACATTCTGCGCTTCTCGCCGCCCGACGTTCTCGTCACCAACAGCACTAACAATCCACTCTGTACCTTCTTTTCCAGGTATCTTATCACCAACCTGCCGTGTGGAGAGACGTCGCCGTTCTGCTGCTGGTGCTGCGGGGCGTGCACGGACGTCGTTGGCTGCAGGTGGTTCAGCGGGAGCAGCGCCTTCGACGACAGGAGTTGCAGGCGCAGCCGGGTCAGCATCAGTAGCGTGGCCTCTGCGAGGAGCACGGCGTCCACGGGGAGCTCGGTGGCCTCGACCGCGTCCTCGAGCACCGTCAGCGTCAACGGTCGGCTGATCAGGTGCACCGGTGTCACGAGAACCTCGGCCACCACGATCAGGGCCTCCGCGGCCAGGAGCACGGCCACCCGCACGGCCTCCGCGAATGGAACGTCCTCCACGTCCCTGCACTGGTAGGTTGTCGATTTGCTGAGGTAAGACTGAAAATAATAAAATAAGAGTTTTCACCCTATGGAGAGAAGAAATTGATTTGTAATAAACCAATTAGAAACTGACATACCATTATCTTGTTCCTCCTCGTCGCGGCCGTCGTCATCTGAAGATACCTCTTCCTCTAACACGAAATCTTCATCACCATCGCTTTCGTCTCCGCTCGGATCATCCTCGTTCTCCGAAAGTAGATCGGATATATTACGAAGGTCGGCGAGGACGCGGCAGGCCTCTTCGGGCGTGTACCGCTTACAAGCACGCGTTGGCCGCACCATTGTTGTCTAACCTAACGCAAACGGGCGCAAAACCTGCGCTGAGATAGCTACGACGAGGGCCCGCCGGCGCGCGCTCGAGTCGTGTCTGAGCCTGTCGCTGTGACGTCGTACGGTTATTCCCCGCCCGCCGCCCGCTGCACCAGCCTCACGGCCGCCGCCTGCCCGAGCCGCTGCGGGCAGACGACCCTCCCCCCCTCCCCTCTTCCGCGACGACCGCCGCCGCCACTACCACCACCGCTTCATTGCCCGTTCACCCTCCGCGCACAGGTTTCGACGGAAGCCACCGCTACCACGGTCTTGTAACGCAATAGGTATCGGGAACGGCCCTTTGTGGCGGGCGGGTTGCCTACCTACCCCGCATGTGATAGTGCAAAGGTTTCATATGACCGACCAGAAGCTATAAGTTATCATAAACAATGAACGCCGCCAGCTTCACAATGATAAAAGTCGGTTCTCGACCGTAAATAGAGTGGAAATCAGTAGAGGGGTCAAAATGACCCCTCCGGTCCTTCTAGGTATAAGTAGTAATATCTCCGAAAGTTTTTGTCCCAGAGACCTAAAATTTTGTGTCAATGCGTCTCTCGATAGTTCATGAAAAGTCAAAAAGTGGCGCTGCTGTCCAAAAAAATTTTAATAGTTCCTATGGCAAATGAAAACCGAAAGGGGTCATTTTGACCCCTTCGGTCCTTCTAGTGTTAAAAGAGGGGGACATCCAGTTGTTAAGTTGGAAGAAATAGAAATACTTCATTATATTTAGCGAACGATGAGCGATTGTTTTCAATCGTTATTGGAAGTCAATCGGGATCATTTGTACCAAGCGTCAAAAATGTCTCTATGGACTTCTGTAAAGAAAATGGGGCCCGGGTCCCCTATACGTTATATTGTTATTCTCGGGGAGAATAGGGAAGGGCTCGTGAGAGGCTATCAAATCTCGCGTCGGCGGCGCCATTTCCGCTGTCATCCCTCTCTGACTCTATCTCAATCTGCCCCCCTGCTCAGCCGTCCCGCTCGATTAGGGGGCGACGCCAACATATTACACCTCCCATAGCAGGTGTACTTGTTGACAGGTGTTAGTCGCACATTGTCACACCCCTGCTCAGCACCCCTTCCTCTCCTCCCCCCCTCTTTTCCCCTTTTCCCCTTTACCCCGGCTCTGTCTGTCACGCTACATAAATTGCGCGGGAAATAATGCGGTTACGTTTATTAAAATTTAAATTCTGTGGCGCTCAACAACAACTGCGGCGCGTTGTACATACTCTCTTTTTATTTTATTGCTCGTCTCTCAGACTCCGTTTGCTACCCTTGTTTTTTTCTCGTTCCATTTCCTCGCGTTTTTCTCCTCCTTTTTGCACATTTCTGCGTAAGGCGAGTCGGAATGCCCTCGGAGCGCAGTCCGCGGGATGCGTCGCGCACGGCCGAGCGTTGTGAAGAACACTGTTGCAAAAAATTATGAATTGTTTAGTCGGGTTTGCAAAGACTCTGAAATCATGTTTTATTGTTATTTTCCGAGACATATTGTGTTTTATAATAATATAGGGGAGCAGGATTTTTGTGAATGGGATGATGTCGGGCTCGGAAGCCATGAAGCGACGAGGGGAGGTGGGTCGCGAGGAGCGTCGCGTGTTACGCGCAGGCGACGCCTCCGCCCCGCCACGCCCCGCCACGCCCTGCCCAACGCGAGGGCGACGGCAGCAGAAGCGCTTCTTCAGTCCGAACGCGACGCCCCCTCTCCTGTATCTTCTCTCTTTCTCTCTTGTTCTCCCTCTTCCTCTCCTCCCTCCCACTCTCTACGTTTTGATTTATTCGTAACGCATCATCACGTCGTGAATTTCAATTACGTCTGCCGCCCCGCTGCACGGCAATGCACACCACGTCGATGGTGATTGGTTATTGAGGTGTTCACGAAAAATATGCCATTATTTTTCTGGTATTATTTGTTTATGCTGGCAATATTCTTGACCGCGCTGAATTTTTCACTGATGATTGATACACTGATAAACCAAGTGTTAAACCTCCAAATCTTTACAAGTATTTGCGACTCTACTGAGCTTCCTGACCACCTGAATTTATTAGAAGGAGCAGGCCTATGTCTTTACTGATAATCTAAGTGTTCAACTGCTCAACACTTGCAAGTGTGCAACTGCAAGTTAAACATTTGCAAGTGTGCCACTGCAAGTTAATCATTTGTAAGTGTTCAACACGGTGGGTGTGCACTTGCAAGTGTGCAACTCCTCGGTTGAGCACTTCCTACACAGTGAGCGTTCAATTTAAGGGAGTGTTCAACCGAGAACTTGCACACTTGCAAGTGTTGAGCAGTTGAACACTTACATCATCAGTGTTGTCTTGCATTTGCTTTGTTTTAACTTGTTTCGTTGCATTCCGTTATGTATTCATTCAACGTCATTTGTGAGATACCATTTTGTAAAACCACATGCTACCAATCGGGTGTGCATCCTGACGGTTGGGGGAGCCTGGGGCTCCGGAGGGGAAGAAGAAGTGTATCCGGTGAGGTGGATCGTGATGGCGGCGCGCCGCGGGGACATGCCGCGGATGCGCGCATGCGCACCAGTAGTCGGGCAGCGCATGCGCGGCAACAGTAGCGGCAGCCAGCGCACAGCGCGCACAGCCTCGCAAACCACTTAATCTGACAATAATTGCCCCCCCGGGAACAATGACCAGCAGCTGCCCCCTCAGCAGCAATCTGGCCCTTGTCTGTCAAAGCAGTGCGGCGGCTGGTCCACCGCAGTGCTGGCCTCTGGCGGCTGCTACCCGCACCATGTCACCAGCAGCCACAGGACTCGGGCTCTCTCGCCAGGCGACTGCAAATTTGAAGACGACCACCAGGTCTAAGAATCTGCACTCTGCTAACCTAACACTTAAGAACACTCAAAATTAGGGTTACGAATCCCATTGCGCTGCCCCTTGTGGACTCACGGACTCAAACGACCATCCCTCGGACCATCCTGAATTTTAGGGCCCCATAATATTTTGACTCTTTGAGTCACGTGGTTTGGGCACAGCACCTGAGCTGACCTCTGACCGGATAATAGTCCGAGTTCGACGTCGGTGAAAGTTCGCCGGCAGGGCTTTGGCCGCGGGCGCAGCCTGGCTCCAGCCGCAAGGTTCACTCGCGAGCTCGTCGCTTGCTGCCGCCAGGGCCTGCCTACGGCCTGGCCTACTCTCCTCACTGCTACTTTGTCAGGCATTTTCCCCGACGACAGCGATTGCTGCCTCTCGCTCGGTTTAATTATTTTACTCTGGCCGCTCAAACGAGCCTGATGAGGCGGGAATTTCGTCAATGCAGTCCCGGAATGCCCCCATGGCGCGGGCCTGCCGGCCTGCTGGCTTGCCCGCCTCTGCTTTGGGCGGATCGGTCTCCTTGCGACCAGAACGTGTGCCAATCGTCATGTCTCAATCTTCCTCCGAGAAATGTCAAACATTTGCCGCTATTCGTCCGCAAATTGAGAGCCCGGCTGCAGCGGTAGCACCCGGTGAATGTGTCTGCCTGTGTTCGCATATCATCCTCCCACCGACTGACGCAATTCTTCCCCCATACCCCCATACCTTTTTCGCTCCGTTGGCCGAAGCCTGGTTACTTCCCTGCTCTTTTTGTTTGTAAAACTTGTCTCATCGCTCGTTATGGGAGTAGGTTGCGTTTCACTGTCCTTTACTTTTTTCACCGTTTGTTTCCGTGCGATTGTGTCTCGCCTTGTCCTTCGCCTGATCCGTCCAGTCGCTCCCAGGCTCCTTGCCTTTCCGAGTCGGTCTCAATCCACACCTGTCGTTCGTTCCCTCCCTTCCTCCTCCCATTGGAGGATCCTCCTTCACCCGACCGAACCCTTTAAACCAAGTAGAGTAATTCTATCTCAGATTTGGATATGGACGCAAAGCAAAGGGAGAGAGAGGGAAAGGGGGACGGAGAGGG